AAAGAGAAGAGGACTTCAGCAGCCTGCTATGCCAATAGTCGAAGAAGGGTTATTTCTAAAGGCATCTACACTATTTCAAAGTGGCAAAGTGTTCAACTCCACACGTTGCCTCATGTCTCAGGCACCCAACATGTCCCTATAGCTGCAGCTCACATACAGCAGAAAGTCAGTCACAAGACTCAGGAGATGGTCAGATATTGAAAAGTACAGAAGGTACTTCTCACAAACAGCTTCTGTTCATGAGTACTTGTCTGTCTGTCTTTGGTAATAAAGGTTCCTCTGACTCACAGGAACAGCTTTCCTGCTGGCAGCAGCACTGCAATGCCGAGAAACAGCTGGAACTAAACCTGCAATATTAAATCAAATAAAAACGACTGAAAGTATTTGCTTAACATGCCAAGCTGCAAACATTTGCATTTGTCTAGAGAGCTATAATATTCACTATATAATATATAATATTGTTGCAAGACGATGCTTTTAGCAATGATGGCATTTCACTCAGAACTAAGTGTAAAGTATTAAACTGGGGGGGGGGGTTCAACAGCAGTGACCCCATTTTGGACCATGTCTTTTTCCTCTTTCTAAGGAAGCGAGGAGATGCAGCCACACGGTGCTTGCTGGGATTTTCACTGCTGTGATCTGCTGTTGAATTCAAATCAAATGTTTTGAACCTCACCCAGCTCAGCTGTTACCAGCACTCTCAAATATAATAAATTCAGGATTTACTGGCAGGCTTCATATTTCTCTGAGTGAAGCTCTACTCATTTATTAGGATTATCTGCATTCCACCAGAGATAAGAACCAAAGGCACAATGAGGTTCACAGTCTTGTTAAAGGTCTTTAAATGAAGAATATATAATAAGCTGTTGCTAATTAGATTTTACACTTGATCTTTGAATAATTACCACTGATGTCTAAAAATACATGTTTTTATTGTTTTTACTGCACAAATAATGACATCAAAAGCAACGTATGAATACTGAAGAGTGGAATAGCCACTTCTTACATCTTTGAAATGTAAAGTAAACACTGTGAGCATCCTGCTGCTGGGTGCTGTATTGGATTCCTCTTCTCTATGCCATGACTTTGACTCACTTTATGGAATGTGTCCCTGCTGGGTTTTCATTTCCTCTGTCTGAAAAAAGGAATGCAATCAGAGAACTGATGCTAAAATCATTACCTAATGACTAAAGCCATTGTATGACTTCTTCCATGCTGTGGCGTTCACTGTTCAAGAAAACATCACATCTTTCTTTGGAGAAGAGCCTTTCTAAAAGTGTGTTTGACTGTTTGCAGGTTCAATTGATTCAAATGTGCCCACTTCATCTAGGAATCATTTACTAAAGAATCCTACATGTAGTGTTCTAGTTTTCAGAAGAATACATGTTGATGGCAAACTAAGAACAAAGACAATGTTTGCTGTCTATTAAAGCAAGCAATGTGATTTCTCTTATTATCTCTATGTCAATATCACACTTTACTTACTGAGAACTGAAAAGGAACTCACATTGGTTTCAACGTTTATTTTGCTAAATAAGACAAATCATCTTAAATGTACTCATGAAAACCAGATGGTATTGATCTTTATTTCTGGATGTTTTCATGGTGTTTTGTGTTTAAAGGTTTTTGTTGAATCAAATTGGGGTATTTTTTTAAATCTTCTACTGGTGTGTGAACAATAATGCTACTGTTCAACACAATATGGTAACTTCCCAAGTGCAGTTGTTAACCATACTGCGTTCATATACTGCATTTATTTTCATGACGTTTCTACAGTATGTCCTTCCAGAAACAAAGCTGTGTGATGTTTACAGTATGGAGGATCATTAAATTTGCCGGCTGCTCCTCTCGGAGCATAAATCAAGCCAACCCATCTCTCCCCGACCCCACTCCCTCCCTAGTGGCTTACTTAGAGCCATGCCAACGCAGCACTGGCTGCGGAATGAGCAGGGTAAGCATGCAGGGCTGTCCTTAAGCTGCTGTCTGACGGCATAAACAGGCCTCTGTCTCCTCTTGAGAGCAAGGGGGATCAAGCAGGCTTAGTGGGCATGACCTGTGAGAGCCCAGACACGGCCAAGACATGCAACAAAATACAATTGTCTTAAGAATTGCTGCTCTATTGAACATGGGGAAACTAGTCGACCTCACATTGCCCACGGGCCCGGAACAGGACCTAGATGCACTCCGCCGAGGATAGCGCTGACTAAAGCCTCATGAATAATTCTGAACATCCCCTCTCTTTTTCCTGCCCTGATTTAAGAAAGTGGGGCCCCAAAAACAAATTAGAATCTTACAATCTGATTGGTAAGAAAAGGAATATTGCTTTAATATTAGATCTTCTCACAAATTATTTATTAATTTCTTTGGCACCATGCAGGGGGAATTAGAGGCAGAGCAAAGGAAATGACAAGACATTTTCTTATGGTTTAATTTCCTCGATTGCTTTATGGCCATACATAAATGCTTAAATTGGTTTGTAACATATGCTCTCCCCGCTCTGTTTACTTCCTTCATTAAGTGTGACTGAATCACTTTATTAGTGATTATCCCCCCAAAAGCTGCAGGAATGCACAGCATCACACCTCATCATGTAATTTACCAATATAGTGGAAATGGGAATATGCAAATACCGTCGGAGTATTCTGCAGCACCAAATAGGCCCCTGGGCTGCTTGTCCAATGACACAAATCATCAATTAAGATCTCAGCAGGGTTTGGGGATAAACTAAATTGGCATTATCTCTATCTGACAATATGTAGAGCCGTGTGGGGTATAGCACAACAAAGAACAAACAAAACTGAGGGTGATTAGTTTGAGCGTGAGTGTGTGTGTGTGTGTGTGTGTGTGTGTGTGTGTGTGTGTGTGTGTGTGTGTGTGTGTGTGTGTGTGTGTGTGTGTGTGTGTGTGTGTGGTGTGTGTGTGTGTGTGTGTGTGTGTGTGGTGGTGTGTGTGTGTGTGTGTGAGTGTGTGTGTGTGGTGTGTGTGTGTGTGTCATCATTGAATAATGTGAAATGTAACAGACTCTCTTCTGGTCTTTACACGGCGATTCACGGCTACAACAACACTGTCTTTCACAGCGTTTGCTTTCACAGCGGCAGCAAGGTTAGCTCCTCATGGGATTTTATGCTTAGCACGCTGCACCTGCCGAATGTGTGTGAAGGAGGCAGCTAAAGTGGTCTAAATCGCCATTGTGATTTCTCAGGGAGGCAGATGATTAGTAAACAAACGGTTGAGGCATATTTAACCAAGCTAATGTACTCCCCATGCTCAGACTATACGCTTTGCTGTGAGGGGCCTTTACTTTGTAATATACAGTTGTAACACTTTTATTATTGACAGATGACAACGCAGTCTGCAGCTGTTAACACTAGAGACTAGAGTTTTATTTCCTGAACATTTAGCAACATGGGACTTTTAATTTTTTTATTTAGATGTGTTTGCTAATCTGTGTATGTGCACATGTGTGTTATTTAAGGGCCAGTGTTAAAAGGTAAAAGTATCTTTCAGATGATCTGAGTTGGTTTGAAGTAAACAGCCTGTGGTGCCTCACCATCATTTAACCCAAATTCAACAGGGCCCCACTATTGGAGGCTAACAGACTGGCTTAATCATACTGACCACATTTCATGCCAGTCCAACGTCTCCTAGTGAAATAGTCATTGGAGTTATTGTGGAATAAACTAGTAATCTGGAATAGAAAGTGTGGAGAGTGGACACAAAGAAGGCCAGTGTTCAGTTCTGGTTTTGCTGGAACTACATATAAGACCTCACTAAGATGCATGAGCAACACTTGAATCACATAATGTGTTCACCAAGAAATGCAAAGTAGCTAAACTCACTGTTCAGCCTTTTAAAATACAGAAGAAAATGACTGTTTTTCTGAAATGAATGCAGAGCATTAGCTTTGCATTAAAAAGCTGTTTTGTTTTTTAAATGCTGTTCATGAGCTACAAACAGAAACATAGACAGGCGCCTGTCAAGTTACAAATATAACAGTGGATATGTTCACACAGCAAGCTATCTAAATAACTGATAAAAGCTCTACATTTCCAACATTTTCCAAAGGCAATATATATCTGCAATTTGAATGCTGTGCTAGTCTGTGTGTTTTGGTCACAAACAAACAAACACACACTACTGTTTATAATATAATATAATTGTAATATATGAACAAAGAACATTGATAGAATCGGATAGAAATAGTTTTAGAATGAAAATACTTAATCCGTTTTTTTCTTTAAAAAAAACACCAATTGCGCCAGTCAAAATACAAGCATTGTTACTGAAGTAAAACACCACATAACTTCAACATTAGGAACCAGCAGTGGCAGGAACAGACAAAACAACACGTGTTTGTGCAGACTCATCAGCCATCACATTTCATTGTACATTTAAACAGAACCACAACGCGAGGTATCACTCCGCCGCTAATTGACAAAGCCGTAATAAAAAACCAGCTTCCTGCAGCTATTCACTCATTCTGTCCTCATGTCTCTAGCATCAGCATTATTCTCTAGATTACAACATTTTGCACAAAACCCCCCGCAGGTAACACATCCTAGATACCTGCGTCTCAAACATTACCGACACATTTTTAAATCCAAACGCCGCACAAGAAAAAAATCCCCTGGTCTTTGAGTCCTGCACAAAAATGCATATCCTCTGCTTTCCCTCTCTCTTTTTCTCCCCCTCCTCTGTTCCCCCCTCCCTATCTCAGTCGCTCTCTCCCTCCCTGACTCTCTCTCTCTCTCTCTCTCTCTCTCTCTCTCTCTCTCTCCTCTCTCTCTCTCTCTCTCTCTCTCTCTCTCTCTCTCTCTCTCTCTCTCTCTCTCTCTCTCTCTCCTCCTCTCCCTCTCTTTCTCTCTGGCCTGGCTGCTTGTCTGACTGTATGAATAATGTCCTGCCTTTTGTAATGAAGGGGGGGGGGGAAGGGGAAAAGGACGCTGAAGTGGTAAAGCCCTGCTCCCATGCACTGACATTGAAAATGAATGACAGCTTACCTGCATGCCAATCTTCATCAGACTGACACTGGGCTGACAGCACAGCCTATACTCCTCCACACAGCCGGTGACGTCAGCCATGCCTGGCCCCTCCCACCTCCAGCTCCGCTCCCCGTTTTCCCAACACCGGGCTGATGATGCCTTCCAGTGTCCGTGGGAAATACGGCAATCACGTGTGAGTGTTGGTGAGAAGCGCCAGTAGAACGAAAATCAGTGCAGGAGAAATAATCAGAGGTGGGAGAAGTACTGAGATCTTGTTCTTTAGTAAAAGTAGAAGTACCAGAATGTAGAAATACTCTGTTACAAGTCCTGCAATCAAGTAAAAGTAGTGATTGTGCAGATATGATGTGTTAAAAATTATTGATGCATTAAAGTGTTCTCAAAGCTGGTAAAGGTGCAGCTAGTTTGAATGACTTTGTATACTGCAGGGTAGCTTGTGAATTTACTCCAGGTGAAACTAAAGTCTGATTTAACACTTGATTATATTTCACATCATTCATCCACATCTGTAAAGTAACTAAAGGTATTAAATAAATGTAGTGAAGTAAAAGTACACCATTTACCTCTGAATTGTAGTGGAGTAGAAGTACAATGTAGTAAAACATTAAAATACTCAAGTAAAGTAAAAATCCCTCAAAGTTGTACTTATGTACAGTACTTGAGTAAATGTATACTTACACCACTGGAAATAATAATTAAATAAATCACTTTTTAGGAATGACTTGTAGATGATGAAGCATCAAAAAGCATGTCTTATTCTTACTGTTTATTTTTTTTCTCATCAGTTTGAATGACACACACACAATTCACAGTCAATAACCAGCATGTTCAAAATCAATTCACAAACGATAACTGAGATTTTTTAATTGAGTGAAAGTAGCAATACTAGGTTGTTAACATTCTCTGTTACCACTTAAACCTGGACCAATCTGCAGGAACAAAAGTATCAATATGAAAATAAACTGTGAGTATCATAAAGTACTTTCTGTGCGGAATAGCCCATTTCAGGAACATACGATTATGATTATTGATGCATTTATGTTTTCATCACAGCTGGAGCTAAATGTGACTACGTTATACTGTACTGCTGCTGTGCTTTCACCAACAATTATATCTCATTGTTTATATTAGCTAATTGTCTGATTCTAAAGCTGTCGGATACATGTAGTGGAGAAAAAATTACTATATGGCATTACAAAATGTAGCAAGCGAACTATAAAGAAGCATATAAATAAAAATATTCAGACATATTTCCAGTACCTCACACACGCACGAACGCGTTGAAACACGCGCCTATGATGAATCACGGATCTGGCCAGTCCCCCTGTCGGTGTGCACTTACATGCTGCAAGTAGACACGGTGGAAAGATGGGAAAGAATCATGGATGTATAATAAGAATGAAAGAATATACAATTAACGCAACAAAAATCCCAAAGATGTCCCCTACTTTGGATCTGGATGTTTAAACTGATAACACAGAATAACTGACTTCATGCTTTTTCTATAACATGTATGTCCCCATTAATTACTTCCCCATATTTACTTTAAAATAATAAAAATATGTATTTAAAAAAGGATTTAATTATATATTAAGTATTCTCTATTGAATACAAAACTGAATAATACAAAGTTTCATGATGTTACTCTTTCACACTGCTAAATGTAAACCCTGTAAGGCTAATTTATTACAAAGGTATAGCCTCGTCTGTATGATATTAGGCTTTTAAGCAAAGGCAGGCGTACGGTTACATCAGAAAAAGGGTAAAAGATTCAATGTTCATCTCGTAAACGGTAAAAAGTCAAAGCAGCTTTGTGAAGTTCTGCTGCCCCATGTGCAGCCACAGTGCTTTCAGTAAAGTCGCATGTGATAGGCCGGTCTCGAGTTCGTGTATCCAATGAAACTTCAGTTTGCTGTTACCAGGAAGCAGAAGACGCTAAGGAGAAGGCTCTCCATCCTTGCCTTTTTTTTACTTGATACATACATCCACGATTCCCTGAATGAATGACTACTTGAGAAACGTCAGGTTAATAGACAGCAAGTCGAACACTTTAAGTTACATGTTTCACTGCCGGTGTCAGGATAGGAGAGCTAACGTTAGCAGTGATAGCTAACTCCCGCACACATCAGTGGAAGTAACGGTTAGCTCATTTAGCTCATGTTAGCTATTTAGCCTAATTTAAGCTACATCTTTTCATAGCAATGCACCGAACGTCGCTTGTTAAATCGTTTTTGAGACACCTCACTCTTTAACTTCTGTGTATGTCGGGTACAGCAGCTTGAACCGTTGCTAACAGACATGGCTAACACCGTGCTGGAGGTGGGGACGGGGGTCTTCGTCATATCGATCGTCTGGATCGCAGCTCTGGTGTTTGGGATGATTCTGCTGAGAGCATCCGGGTCTGCGAAGTGAGTGAGAACCGCACCCTGATTCAGTGAGAACAGCACCCTGATTCAGTGAGAACAGCACCTTGATTCAGGGAGAACAGCACCCTGATTCAGGGAGAACAGCACCCTGATTCAGGGAGAACAGCACCCTGATTCAGGGAGAACAGCACCCTGATTCAGTGAGAACAGCACCTTGATTCAGGGAGAACAGCACCCTGATTCAGGGAGAACAGCACCCTGATTCAGGGAGAACAGCACCCTCACACTGCTAACACTGCCCCGGGTAGAATACAAAGCACACACTGCTGGAGAATAAAGTGAGCCCAGACAGGCAGAGGTGGGAAAAGTACTCAGATCTAGTACTTAGTAAAAGTAAAAGTACTCAGATCTAGTACCAGAGTGTAGGAATACTCTGTTACAGTACAAGTCCTGCATTCAAAATGTTACTCAAGTAAAAGTAGAAAAGTATTAGCATCTAAATGTACTTAAAGTATCAAAAGTAAAAGTAGTCATTGTGCAGATTGGTCCATTTCAGAATAATATATATGATATGTTTTATAATTATAATATTGATTATTAAAGTGTTCTCAAAGCTGGTAAAGGTGCAGCTAGTTTGAATACTTGACACCACTGCAGACAGGAGACCATGTACATGTATGTCACTGAATCAGTCTGCTTTATTCCTTTGACCTCTCCCCCTCCAGTTCATATTGCTTTGCTTTTTGACCAAAAAGAACATTTTACTTTTTAACTTTTACATTTGTGGCATTAGTAAGGTTTTTATGTTCAAATAATGAGGATTCCAATACATGTCATTAAAAGGACACGTTGATTCTATATATGGTACTATTGAACACAGTGGTGTTTTTAAAGACAACACATTTAGGAATATCAAGAAAGTGAAAGAATCTGCGGTTCGTGTCAAACTGAAGAGTAGACCCAGAATCTTACATGACCTTGACTATGACTAGAACAAAAAGAAGAAATGTGGTTTTCTCACATAAAAGTTGAAACTCTTCAATATGTTTTGCCTCCTTAATAAATCGTTGTGTGTACCCAGATGGAGCAGCAAAGAAAATATAACTGCAGTTTCCTTCCTTACTGACTTCTTATCTAAATACTATGAAACAAGTCATTATACCCACATGCTGCTAAACTAATAGATTGCGGAGACCATGCATCCTCCAATCCCTGCTGATTAATACTTGTCTACAACAGACCATAATACTATTAAAGTCAGTAAATGATTATTTGTGTGCACTTGTGTAAGGTGCAATTACAGTAAAGTTTAAATGAGGTGAAACATGGAGCTATTTACTTGATTGAAAAGTTAACAACGTACAGGGTAAGCACAATAAAGAGGCCATTATTTTGGTACTTTAAATTCCATTATCCTACGATAACCCCGGGTTTCTGGCAAGTTTTACCACAAATCAGCAGTGGGACTTCTCATAACTTCCTGTTTGTTTTAACCATGCTTGTGTGTTTTTGTTTTTGCCAGGTTAGCCGTGATCCCCATTTTCCTCATGGCTCTCACCATCACTTTAGTGCTGGTGTTTTTCCCACGCAGCCCAGAGACCACCCCCCCTTTCAAACAGATAGAGGTGAGTCTATGTACTGATCTCACACACCTTACACACACACTCACATTCATTTTCATATATTTCACCTGCCTTCATTATAAATGAGTATGTTGTACTACATTTAACACAAATACCATGTGTTTTTTATGTGTTACCTTTTTGCATTCAAAATACACAGACATGTATTATTATATTGTGGATATTGCATTGTGACAGCATGGTGTACTTTAGTGGAAATAACAGCATGTTTTTCACATTTGATTTTTTCTTTATTTTCTACCCAATATTTTGGCAAGAGAGACCGCTGAGTGAACATAAGAATGTTTTTTATGCACTATGAAACATTTAAGAACTTTAAGGAGATTAAAGTAGATCCCTATTTCATGCTTATCGGTGACAATAGTATATCAAGCATTATCATTCATGGTAATTCTTTTACATGTGTGTGTGTGTGTGTGTGTGTGTGTGTGTGTGTGTGTGTGTGTGTGTGTGTGTGTGTGTGTGTGTGTGTGTGTGTGGTGTGTGTGTGTGTGTGTGTGTGTGTGTGTGTGTGTGTGTGTGTGTGTGTGTGTGTGTGTGTGTGTGTGTGTGTGTGTGTGTGTGTGTGTGTGTGTGTGTGTGCGTGCCTGAAAACAGCATGTGTCAGTGTGTGTGCACGTCTCTGTGTGTGTGCTTGTCGTGAAGGCCTGTTCTGCTTTATCTTAGCCCAACAGCAACACAGAACAAACACTCCCCCATGTTGCCTCCGGGTTGTGCCAATAAGCTGGCCAGATCTGCCAAGCAAGCTGCCCCCCCCCCCCCCCCCCCCATAACAGAGCAGAGCCCATCCCAGCTAGCACGCATGCTACAGCCTTTGTGCTAATTCAGAGCAGCGACAGAGAGAGGCAACAAAGGGGGACAGGTGAACTGATTCCAATGTTTGAAAGAGCCCATGTATACATCGTGTGTAAGATTAGCACCTCACAATGAAGCAAAAAGACATATTGTTTTGATTTGTGTGAAGTTCTTAACTGTTATTTATGTTAACTATGTTAAAGTGCCCTGTAGCTTTTAGAATAGAAAACAATTGTCATTGTCCAAAATGGTCTCAAATTGCCAATCTGGCATGTCATTAAAACAGACACACCACAACTACAGTATGAATTCTCAAAGTATTATGATACAATACATTAATAACAAAAGACAAAAGATTCAAATTGAGTATCTTCAAATTGAGAAACAGTGGATAAACCATCCCGAGGCTCCCTGTAGAAGCTTCCAGAGATTAGCCTCTCCTGTCTGCAACACAGAGGATTTAACCTGAATTAAATAGACAGTTTATTTTAATTGTAATTATTATAAATCCTTACATATATGATTAAACTGTATTTTAACAGAGGTAAAAATGCATTTATATAGAGAAAACTGCTTCATTAGAGACAGTCAATTACGTCTTGTGTTCATATCATGTTTTTATGTAACATTCTGAAATCCTACTTCCCAGCAGAGAGAGGATGTAAATGTCTGAGTGTGTGAATGTGTGCACACTGCGTAAGAAATGTCCAACCTCTTGCTGTTTAACCAAAGTAAAAATATCATAGTGCCAATTAGTCTAGCTGCAGACTCTGGTGTGGGGGGGGGGGGGGGGGTTATACTAGCCCCCCTCTCCCACCTGCCCCTCCGCCCGCCCGCCTGCCAGCTACCACCCGTGCGCTCAATAGCACATTAATAAAACATGGCCCACACTTTGGGTTCCTACTTGCTGTGTAATTGGCAAATTAAAAAGTGAGATGTGTTAAATGCATCCATAAGAGACGGCATACATCATCCCCATCTCACGCAGACACCAGTGGGTTTATACACACACACACACACACACACACACACACACACACACACACACACACACACACACACACACACACACACACACACCTACTCTCATTCCATTACAGTCCCTGTGAAATCTCTCCTCTGGTATTAACTGGCTTTAGGGTGTTTTCTCAGTTTTTATTCTCGTATTGGTGGCTCATGATCTCAATATTAACACAGACCAAGAGCTATTAGTGAAGTGTTAAATATATCGATGGCAACTTTATAAACTCCAAACTGAACTTACTTGAGCAACAACAGTGCTAATCTTAAAGATCTATTGTTCTCCTCTTTTGCTTTAGACCTGTTGATCAGAGCATCCCCCTGCAGCCTGTGCCCCCGCTGATCCTCCATCTAGATAAAGAGCAGCAGGATCAGAACATAGCCAGCATCCCACAATCAGCAGTTAGTTTTCAGCAGGCGTTATTGAAACAATAGGCATGACATGTCTTCAAACACCTTACTGCAGATGTTGTTCCCTGAGCACACAGGTCTCATTCCTATATGAATCAATAACTGCTGCTTTGCCACATGTCAGAGGCAGTGGCCACGTTTGAAAGGTGGGGTTGACCCTGTCTTACAATCATGTCATGGCGTGGTTACATGACTGTCCAATCCGTTTATGAAGTTGTCTCCACTCAGAGATGCCACATATTAAATTCAGGAAGCAACTCCATGAACACTTCACCTCCTCTGTCCTCAGACTGCTGCTGTTCACTGGGGCTTCAGCAGTGGTGCAGGAATGAGTCAGCATTTCAGCACCTCGGGGCTTCCTATTCTCCAAATCTATGTTTTTTGATTGAGTTTTTTTGGTATATTAATCATGCAAGAATAATTACTCTAGGACGCAAGTAAATAAGTTTCTTCTCCTGCTACGTTTTTACCATTTGGGAGAGTTTGTTTGCGTTAGCTATGAGGTCTTTGTTAGGCTTCTGAATGCCGCACAGAGTTACACAATTTATCATTCAAGATTATCTCAAATTAAATCTAACTCTGCAGTCCAAAGCCCACAGTTGGCAGTCAAGAGCTTAAACCTGACCTGAGGCCTGAGTTGTCTATCATACTGTGTCCCAGCCATGGTCAGTTTACACTGTGCAGCAGCATGAGGGGGACACTGTAAAGACTCTGTAGAAGCTGTGCACACTCATACCAAGTTCATCTGGTGACCATCAGTTATTCTGCATTGTCAATTGGAAACAACTTGGTTTACATGGTGTGTGTGTGTGTGTGTGTGTGTGTGTGTGTGTGTGTGTGTGTGTGTGTGTGTGTGTGTGTGTGTGTGTGTGTGTGTGTGTGTGTGTGTGTGTGTGTGTGTGTGTGTGTGTGTGTGTGTGTGTGTGTGTGTGTGTGTGTGTGTGTGTTGAGAATGCCACATTTCTCTCTGCTTGTACACAAACACTTTGTGGAGGCCCTCTCCTGACATCTAGTGGCTAATAGAGGAAACACAGATCTGTTTTACCTGCCATGTTTTTCCCATGCATTGAAGACTATTTACTGCCTGGATAAAAGCTGTTTTGTGTGGTTACTCAGAACTTGTGACAGTAAACGGTCTCACTCTTTCTCTCCTCAGATAGTGGACACTTTGTTCATCGCTCGCTACATCCTGCTGGCGGTGGTGAGCGCCGTCTTTCTGCTCATGTTCTTCATGCTGCTCCCCTTTCACTTCCTGGAGCCGGTGTATGCCAAGGCCTTAAGAACTCAGTAGAGCTGCCAGGGTCAGAGCTGGCACTGGGACCACAGGCTGATGAGCACAACTTAAGACAAGCAGGCCGAGGAGAGCCCCCCCCTCATGTGGAAACAACCTACAGAAGACTCCCCAAACAGAAACAGTGTTTCCTTCACAGGTTGTTGTTCACTGTTCACGTCAACAACAGAACTGAGATCTCAACATTAATCTTGTATTAAATTGTATCATTTAATACTAGAGATTTATAATTTATTTTCCTACTTACACAGAGTACTTTAACAAACCCTCCACCTTTTTATATAAAGAAAAGCAATAAAAGAATAAAGGAAAACATATATACCTTGTTTCTGTCAAGTATCAGTTGTAGTGACAGTATAGGACACACATGTCACTGAGGAGGAGACAGGGCACTTCAGAGACAGTTCATTCAAATCCTCAATGCATCTCACAGTCTAAAGCCTGGTGATTGGATAATACACTGACTCACAAACTGTGTATTTAGTCATTAAACTAATAAAAATGACTGCAGCTAATGTGAAACTTGAATTACAGTCATAAGGTTGCTTCAGTGTGCCATCGGCTGTGTCAGCAACATAACTCAAAACAAATATGACACACAAAGAAGTAACATACGGTATTTGTATGTCAGTGTTTTATTATGCATAAGTGACGAAAGAGAAATGTAATTGTTACTAATTCCAACAAATGGACATCCAAGGAGTGTTCCTGTACTGTGTGTACCTGGCTTACCTTTGTCTCCTGTCCTTATCTTTAAATGTCAACTTGTCAATGGTGCCAGAAAAGCATTCTATTTACACACATTAAGTTACATTTCATTCATGTAAATATTATATACAAGTCAACAAACTTAGTAAAAAAATACAATTTCATTTAAACATGTTAAATATGTACATCAAACTGAATGGATTAAAAAGCACTCAGGGAAAAGAGGTGTTTGGGGGACCAGGATATGGCCGAGGCGGTGCCATTCACGTTCGCCATTCACGTTCGCCATTCCAGCGGGGCGGATCAAATCAAATCAAGTTTTATTTATATAGCACATTTTTAAACGATTTTTGGTCGAGCCAAAGTGCTGTATATATAATAAAAATACTCTACAGTAAAGACACTTTACAGCAAATACAACAGCACAGTTTGTACAGAATATCAGTATGAGAAAACGACACCCTCTGTCCTTAGACCCTCACATCGTAGAAGGAAAAACTTCCGGAGAAAAACCCACAGTTTAAAGGGGAACATGGGAGAAACCTCAGGAGAGCAACAGAGGATGGCTCCGTTTGCCGGGGAGGAGGATGACGAGGACTTCTCGTTGTCGGGCACTTCCGGGTCCGGCGTCCATGGAAGTCCACCGCCCAGGTCTGTATTTCCCCCTGGTGATGACCATGGTGGCGGAGCGTGGCAGCCCATCTGCTCCCAGCAGGCAGCAGGCTGGGCAGAGAGCCTCTGCCCCACTGCCGCATGACAGGGCAGCTGCAAATAAACACGGGTGTGTTGGGCGTCTCGCTCATTGCTCTTCTGCAAGATGCCCCCACCTCACCGGATCAGAGCGATTATTTGGCCGCAGCATCGGCCGAATTAATAGCTTGGTCTACGGTGTGGCCGCCGCTGCTTGCCGTGTGATGTCCCTGGGGGATCACGCCGCATGGCACTTTCCAAAAAGACAGTGATGATCTCCTGGGAGCCCCCGTGTCTACGGAAGGGCTCTTTGGATCGATTTCCTTGGTCACGTGGATGAGGAGTAGTCGCAGCTTGGCGTATGCTGCTTCTTGCTCATCCTCAGAGGACAGAACACTGTCCCACACTCGCCACCCCGCTGTAACTCCAGTAAAGGAAGCAGCAGGTGGGCGCGCGCACGTGAGTGGAATAAGAATGTTTTTATCTCTGAAGGCCCCCCACATTCCGGGACTGGAAAACAAGGTGGCCGGCCTCATGTCAAGAGGCAAATGGTGGTTCTCCCTGGCTCGGCAGGACAATCCACCCTGGGGGGTGGACACGTTTGCACACGAGCCATGGCCAAGATAGCTGCTCTACGCCTTTCCACCGCAGGTGCAACAGGGGCGTTACCCACTCTGGGCCAACCTCTCCAGGCTTGGCTCCTGAGAGGGACAGGCTGAGATGGGAGGGACTGTCTGACAAAGTTATTCAGACTATCCAGGCAGCAAGAGCAGGATCCACCACAGCCTGTTACAGGACGAAGTGGTTGGGGTTCCAGCGGTGGTGTGAAGAAAGGAGTCTAGAGCAGGGGTCGGCAACCCCTGGCACGCGTGCCACCATTGGCACGCGGCACCGTAACCAGTGGCACACTAGGAATAAGTGGAATAAGTGTGCAAAAATATTTAAATTGTATTTTCGGATCCTGAACGAGACCGCCGCCAGAACGTGTCTCCCCGTTACCTGCAGAAGGAAGCCATGCACGCAACGCAGCCCCGCTCTCTTTAACTCCAGGTGACTTTCTGCCGCTTTCCTCCGTGGTGCAGTGCTGATCGTTTCATCACAGAGGAAAGCACTTCACAAATTGCAGTACCCATAAGGAGCTGTACAAATGCCGCAGTTTTTGCGTGGCTGTGTCTTTAGTTGAAAGCCCAGTGGCGATCTGCTCATCTCTCATCGAAATAACATGCTACAAAGGGACGGACTGGCCATCTGTGTGTTCTGGAGAATCACAGAACGGACGATCGTCCTTATTATTTTGCCGTTTAAACCAATTATTTAAATGTGTTTGTTAAATTCGGCATCATGTAAGTTAGGGATGCTCCGATTGATCGGCCGCCGATCAATATCGGCCGATACTCACTCTCTGCCGATCGATCGGTGCTCTCTAAAAATGCCGATCGCGAGAGCCGATCGCATGATGTAAAATACATGACACTTTTCTCTGTGTGCGGCAAAACAAGCTCGCCAAAATGGCTTCACCGGTCTGGCAGTATTTTAAATGTCCGAAAAGGACAGTAAAATAGCGGTATGCAACGTGTGTGTGAAGCAGAAATCCTGCAGCTCCACCCGCTGTGACGGACCGGTGAGCTGCATGAGATACTGACAGGCTGTCAGGAGAGAGAGAGAGGGGGAGAGAGGAGAGAGAGAGAGAGGGGGAGAGAGGAAAAGAGAGCGCTTCTCCGCTCATTTCTCCCGTGGTATTATCCCAAGTTAATGTAAACTTGAATAATGTACTTCATTTGAATGTAATAATTAAGTTGGTTGTTGTTTGTGGAAGCGCCAGTGAATGAGGCTCCCCCCGCCCTCCTGTAGACAGTTCACGAGCGTCGAGCTCTTCAGGCGCACTGAACAGCTGTTTGTGTGCTTTGGGGATGGTGTGGCCGGTAAAGCTCTGTCCAAGAAACGCCTGAGAGGATGGCTCTGCGAGTGCATTTCACATGCCTATGGACAGGCGGGGAGAGCCTTCCCCACTGGGGTCCATGCACACTCTACACGTGGTATGGCTGTATCAACAGCCTTGTTCAACGGCGTGAGTGTGGAGGACATATGCACGGCGGTGTCTTGGTCTACGCCAGGCCCCTTCATAAGGTTTTATCTGTTGGACATGTCTGGCTCCTTCTCATCGTCTGTGCTTGCTGGGGCAACACAGGACTGGTGAGGGGGTGTGTGAGTGTGCTCTACCCAGCCAAGTAAGCTGCGGCCCCGACTTCTCCATGGTCTCAACCGGATGAGAGGATGTTGGGGTGCAGTGGCTGTTAACCAAAGGCCGGTCAGGGGCAGTGTGATGGGTTGATGTTGTTGAACGACAGGGCGTTTATCCATCAGGGCTCCACCCACTGTACCCATAGAGTCCAGTAGAGGGCGGAGCCTGTGTAAGATATAACGGGGGGTTACGTATTGTAACCCTAGTTATATAAGCACAGGCGGAGCCCTCTACCTGGGGGCCCTGTCTTTAATGCTGCTCGCTGAAGAGGGTGTTGGATGACAGTCAGGAGGCGTGGCCGCCTTATATACTGTGGGCCTGTGTGCGCATTCAGGTATGCTCGCCCCGATTGGCCGGCTATGTTTATGTATCTCAGTAGGTGAATACTCGCATAGCATGGTTGAGAGTAGTACCCATAGAGTCCAGTAGAGGGCGGAGCCTGTGCTTATATAACTGGGGTTACAATACGTAACCCCCCCGTTTTGTGACAGTCGCTCCAATTTAGATGGAAAAAAGGCTAAATGCTACACAAAGATACAATAACAAAGAATGTAATTAAACATAAGGAGTTAAAGGAAGGTATCTACCATAAGTGGGTCAGTATCTGGGTTGCGGTCCAATAGTCCATTTAGCTTAGGAACCTTCCTAACCAAGTGAAATGACCCGGAAGTCCCTCAGTGGCAGCCATGATAAGTGCCGTTCCAATTCTCTAGATCAGGGGTGGGCAATTATTTTTTCCATGGGGCCACATGAGAAACTGAAAATATTGTGGAGGGCCGGGCCAAAAGGCTGAACTCAATTCTGCATAATATTAATTGTATTTCTTTATAAAAAGCAGTAAATAGCATTGTTTTGACAAGCTGGTAAGAGTATATGTTATAGTTAAGCAATGAAAAAGTGAGGTTGCCTTACAAAAAAATGTCATTTATTAAATCAAATTTCCCAAAACAATGGTAAACAAAATGAACGTTTTTCACCATTTGTGACTCATATTAGTGAACATTTTCAGTCACATTCACTCAAACACATTTTGAGTTTCATTTACTGTTGGAAAGAGGTTCTTAGCATTCTAAAGACATCACAATATTGTCTTTGTACTCCAAATATTAAGCAAGATACATCATATTGAACTGTCACTAAACATCACTGAACTGTGATTTTGAGAAAAAGGCTTCCAAAGAAAGTGTCCCAGTTCACTGCTAGTTGGTGCCTTTACATGCCAACATTTGTAGTCTAACCACCTCATTTGGTGTTTTTAAGTTCTCTTTTCTTGTTCAGTGAGAGAAATCTAGTCTCTGCTGGGCTTTAACGAGTGCATCAAAGTCAGGTTGAATGTCTGAGGTGGAGATGCGAAGCACAGCTGACAGATGATCATCAGTGAGAGAGGATCTATACCTGGATTTCGTAAACTTCATAATTGAAAATGTTTGTTCACATATGTATGCGTGTCCATGCACTTGTTTACCTCCGTGAACAGATCGCTCCCTGTCGTCGTCCCTTTCATCGACCGCATTGCTGCCAGCTCCTCCGTAATCTTGAAGTCCGGTGTTATCCCGCGGACGAATACGAGTAACTGGGCTGTGTCGCGGACATCACAGCTCTCGTCCAAAGCCAAGGAGAAAAAGTCGTAACTTGCCACTTCACGTTGCAGCTGAAGCTCC